ACTTACCTGAAAATAAAGAAATAACGATAAAATAATGTTAAAAAAGCCAAATTTACTTCGTTTATATGTACAGTATCTGTTACCCGCGACTTCGTACTCGTTAGATTGTTATTCACATACGAGTATAACATTTTTGCATCTTTAAAAAATATTATCATTTTATTAATGAGGGATGGATTCCCACAAACCTTACAACTGTGTTGTCGAATATTTTAGCTAGAGTATTTTTTTCGCTGCCTTGATTTCACCTTGAAATTACCTTTAAGGTAATGGTCAAACGTAAAGTTTCGATGCGAAAAAGGGGGGCTTCCATTTGAAAATATTCGTTTGATATTGAAATGACCCTGAATGATCATTGCAAAAATCGTGATTTTTTGTCCCCTCTAAACCGTGCAACTTTCGTTTGAAACTTTTTTGAAGAATAAGCATTCTTCTAAATATTCACGCGAGCAGATTAAAATGCGAAAGCGTGTATATGTGGCGGCGCTATCCGTATGAAATATCCTCCTACGGTAATTTCTATTTAGAAAAATGTATCTTTGCTTCTGTCAGCTACGGCGGACGGTGTATGTGCTAGCGAGTCGCCGTTCATCTTCATTTTCCGGGTGACCTGGAACAATGTTTCCCTCCACCACATGAAGGCATGCACGTGCAGCAGCAGCAGTAGGGGTTTTCTTTCCATACAGCATAATACGGACGCGGCGCGCGGCAGCGTTTCAACTTCCTTCATCGATTCATAAATGTGGAGCACGCCTTTCACAAAAACACACCAGCCACGAACGGATTTTCCATTTGTATTTCGATAGGTTAGTGTTCGTCATAAGACGGGTCAGAAGAATACATCGAAATATAATTATATTGTTCGAACTTATCAAAAAATAATCAGGTGGTATATTTTCATTTTTTTCACTATTATTATTATTAGCGAATGATTGAAGCATGAAAATACAAACAGTTTTATTCTAAAAGTCACGTAATTTTGAAATCGCAGCACTATTTTGGAATTTTTTTTCTACACCAAAAAGTTTCTTGTAAGTTCGACTAACAGTGGTATAAGAAAAATGTACGGGACTTGTTTGGCAAACCTCTCCGAAAAATAGCCCAGTTAATGTAGATTCGAAAATGGTACAAATCAGGTAATTTACCTCAACAGAGTAGGAGAATAAAAATTCTTAGAGTGCAAGGGCGAAATAGGTCGAATTTCAAAATTACACTTTTCAAATCATAATTGCTTTTCACGTTGATCGAATGTTCAAACTATTGTTACACAGCTCAATACTTGTTTAAAAAAGTATAAGAATCAAAAACTGGTGTTTCAATGTAAGGTAAACTTAAGAAAACACAGAAAAGTACTTTCAATTTTCAACTTTAATCAACCAAAAACATCAATAAAGAAGTCACCAATTACGATTCTCATAAAAGATGTTGAAAGTGTCTGCCACCAGTACGAATACACAATGCACATCTTCTCAAAAATGTTGTTTTAGAAGCCGCAAGCTCATAACAGAAATTTGTCGTGCAGGCTAAGAATTTTTATTCACCTACTCTGTTGAGGTAAATTACCCAATTTGTACCATTTTCGAATCTTCATTAACTGGGCTATTTTTCGGAGAGGTTTGCCAAACAAGTCCCATACATTTTTCTTATATCACTGTTAGTCGAACTTACAAGAAACTTTTTGGTGCAGAAAAAAAATTCCAAAATAGCGCTGCGATTTCAAAATTACGTGACTTTTGGAATAAAACTGTTTGTAGTTTCATGCTCCAATCATTCGCTAATAAGAATAGTGAAAAAAAATGAAAATAAACCCTAAACGCGGCACCTGTCGTCGAAAGTTTGACGAAAGTCATATTTTTTCAAAAAACCGGATTTTTTGTTTTAACGTTTGTCAGGTCTTTACCGCAATTGAGAGGTCATTATCTAAGGTATCTCCCATTGCAATTTGATTCACATATTCTGGGACACCCTGTATAACATTTCTCATTTTCGCGATTACAATACTTCATCGTCCAGTGGCGTAGCAAGTAAACGAATGGAATGGACTGGGAACGAGGTCATGATAGTTTTATCGATACCTGAACGTTAGACAAGAATAGTTATACATAATGTTGTATTTGCCGTAAGCCATATGCACTGATTATATGATAACGTATTTAGAACACTTTGGAATGGATTGATTGAATTTGTAGTGAACATATACGGGCTTACGAAGACACTGAGCTATTTCGATTATAGAAGTTACATTTCAATCAGATTGATTAGTGGAGAATTTCTATTTATGTATGCCATTGTAAGGTGATTCGATGCGTTCCGGTTAATTCACAATAGGCTGACGATACTTTGACTGCACCTCCCACGCAATACATATAAACATTTAAAGCGGATTTTCCACATGCAATCGAATTTAATCGTACGATAATGACGGTGAATCGATATTTTTGGTGTCATATTATGTATTTAAAACGTGCTTTTAGTAATTATTCTAGCAGTCATTTGTATGACATTGGTAAAAAAGTTCCTGGTTATTAAACGAGAGCAGGAGCGCGCGAGAGGTCAATAAAAAGCGATGAGTTGAAGGGCAACGTAGGTCGTTTACACGGAGGATAAGGAAGGGACAGATGGTGGGGTAGGTTGGGGTGGTAGAAAAGTGCAGGTAGGGCAAACAGGGTTAGGGCAGACTCGAGGAGCAACAGCGTTTAGCAGGACGGCACCAGCACTGTTGCCAGGTGGACTCGACGATATTTCGGTAGAATTGTATGGAATTTTTCGGTAGATTGAATACCGAAGAGTATATGATGGCTTAAACAAAATTTTATTTCACTCACAATATATTCTAAAACAGAAAGACAAAACAAAATTAAACAGTTTATATCTCACTTTAGCTAACTAAAAATAAAATATTTTCAATAAAAAACAGAAAAACTGTATAAAATAAAAAATGTGTAAGCTATATTGGATAATCATTCTTCCGATTCATTTTTGTATAAGTTTTTATCAGGCATATATCATCTACTAATTTTTTGCTTTGCCAAATGGTCCATCAGCAAGAATGGCAAGTTATGCTCGGCCAAAAATGCGCTCAAACGAATTTCTCCTGGAAATAATAAAATAATCTATATAATCTCAAATCTTCTCACATTGAGTAATTAATTTTGCCTTTTTCAATATCATTTTCTAATTTCTTGGATGCACCTGCAACTGCAAATGACGAACAGTTTTGGCTGTTTTGCTATGGTTTGCACTTTTTTATGAAATTGTCCATTTGCGTGTATTATAAGTGCATCTCTTCCACTTTTGATATTAATATCTTTATCACAGACCATGCATTTCGCATAATCGCGCCCTTTATTGCTTTCTTAAGCCAGCCTTAGAAATCTGGCAATTCTTCCCAGTTTTCCTTATAATGTTGGGCACACACGCGAAAAAAGATGACTACAAGACAGACAATACTAATACTGGGCGAATGTAGCCAAATCATCGAGTATCTTCGGTGATTCCCCAGATGAGAAGAATCAGCGTATGTGGCACACCAATGTCAGGCAAAGAGAATAAAAATATATCTTGTCTGGTACGAATAATAATAGTACTTTTGTCATTATTTTTATCGCTATTTTCATCAGAAATATTTCTCGTATATAGGGAACAAAAATTATTCAATTGAAAGAAAAGTCCACTTTTCGGTAGATGTTGCTTTAAAATCGGTAGACCAACATCGGTAGATGTACCGAGAAATCGGTAGACCTGATAACACTGGGCGGCAGCAGCAGCAAGCGATGGTAATATCGAACGGCACGACGAAGGCAGGCGATGGAACGTTGGTGTAATCAGGGCCAGGGAGGATATTTGTGACACGTCAAGAGAAGAAAGGGGAAGGGAAAGGGTGGAGGAGTGGTTGGCGGTGGGCGGGCGGTTACCTGATCACACGCCGGATTGGATCGCGGTCACTGTTTACAAACAAAGAATCACTCATCGCACCGTTTATCACATTCTCTTAACTTCTATGCAAACTATCATATCATTATACATATACGTATATTTTACTAGGCAATCTACTAGACGATAATAAAAAATTCCAACGCTGCATTAATATATAAAAGAATGAGGTAGAAGATCGCTGGCTCCTAATTTCAGTGAACCTACATAGACGAGGTGCGATACCCCTTAATGTGCCTCTACTAGGTGACACTGTTTCAGCATTGACACACATACGCGCATACATACATAAAATATACTGATCATGTACTGCTGCTGCAGCTATTGCTATTACAGGCAATGAAAAAAATGCGAACAATACAAAACTGATTAATATGCGGTTTCCATTATCATTTACGGTCGTGGTATTTCAACCAAAACCTTATTTAAATAGCCTTTGTATATGCTCGTTAAAAGAGGCACTTTCCGGCTTTGGTTTAAATACGACAGTTAATAGTTCTGTAAAATTCTGCAGATGTATTCAAGAAAATTCAGTTTTTCTACGGGTTATCCTTGAACTTCTATTTGTGCTGTTATTCAATTACGTTTTAAAGACTTTTTTTATTTTACATATATTTAATATTTATGGTTCTTTCAAGATTTTAGCATATAATTTATTATAAACCGTTAAAATACGCGATTTGGCAAAATTATCAGAAATTTTATCAATTAGGAAGCTCAGACGGGTACAGGGGTACAGCCTGGTTCCTCTTTCTACCTGTTTTTCCTTTGTAAATAAACAAAACACATACCAGATGTAAACAAAAGAAATCATAAACGCATTGTCGTTCTTGAAAGGATCGATAATAGATTGTTATGTATTTTCTAATGTTTATATGTTTCCAATGGAATGTTTTTGCTCTATGAAAGAATGAACACCGATATCTGTAATGCTAGCACAGCCTTAATATTATCGGTTTTGCATAGACGCAAACTGGACGAAGTTTGAACGGAGATAATATTTAATTATTATCCTAAATGATGTTAAATATCATCGGGGCGAGCGTGTTCGTGTTGGCATGTCATACCTTTGAAGCAAGAACAGCCCATAATGTATCCCATCATGGGTGTTGTTTGATGGGGGTGCGTCCTAATGACGCGTCTTCCCACTGTTTCCTTGCCCTACGAGCGTATACACGTCCTTTCTACCTGTCCCTCCTCCTGCTACCGCTGCTGGTTCTTCTGTTGGTGTTTTCGCCATCATCGCAGTCGCCGCCGTTTCTGCAGGTCAACGGCGCCATCCGCATCGCCATAGCGGCGGTTGTTGTTATTGTCAAGATACACTTATCCCCCCGTTTCAACCCCCAATAATCCGAGTGGCTGACGTCACCGCTACAGCACGATATCCGATTCAACAACAAAGAAAAATGTGTAGTAAAATGCGAGTGGGATCGTGCCGCCGCCCCCGCCGCCGCTGCTACTGCTGCTGCTGCTGGCACCGTGTCCCGCACGATGCGATTCGATTCGATCAGCGAGCAGCAGAAGTCACACTGGTTCGTGGTCCGTGGAGGTGCTGCTGATGGCGTCGACGTCAAAATCGCAGCGCGGCCTACCGGGAGGAGGAGAAAATACGCAACGAGAAATTCCTTCATCCGATATTCGGAGGAGGGGCGGGAAAATCAGCTGATGATCACTCACGGCGACTTCGATATATTTACTGATAAGTAAAGTAGTTTTATGAGCAAACTGGAAAAGATATCACCCTGTATATTCCCATTAAATATCTTTCATTGGAAAGTTTTTTTATATGAAGTTTATACCACATTTAGATTTAGTTTGCTCATAAAACATCCCATTCCTGGAAAATTCATTTAGCATTTGGTACACGGGGTGGCACATCCACGTATGGACCGAATATTACTCATAAACAAATACATTTTGGGAAAATCTATTTCTGATATGTTATACATGACATTCGAGGCCACATTTCTAAAATATTGATAATTATACAGGGTGTCCCATTTATACATGTCATAAATAGATTTTCCCAAAATGTATTTGTTTATGAGTAATATTCCGTCCACATATGGATGGGCCACTTTGTATATTTTGAAAGCTTGACATAATATTTTCAATTTCAATCGTTGACTTCTATTTACTGAATAATTTTGTAAAACGTTTAATAGCAATCCTTTAAAACCATAGTGTTGGAATTTCTTCAACAGTTTTCCCTATCTATAGTTTCGAATACCATTTTTCTAAAAATACTGTTTTTTATCCGTCTAGTCTTCCACCGCCATTTGGATTGCTGTTTCTGTAGAATTCATCAACAATTCATTAATTCATACTTTCTTCCACCGCACGAATAATATTCTTAAAGCGTATAATGTATACAGAGATTTCATTTCTTAAACCACATAATATATGTACATTGCATTATAAATTATAAAATCGAATAAATAACAAAAAGCTTTCGTGAAAATAATTTGACTCAAATTGATATTTTTGAAATATTTGAGCCATTAATAAAATATAGAGTTTCCTAAATATTAAAGTGAAATTATTATTACGGTAAATCACATTATAGCGGTAATTTCATTTGACTTGATTAGTACACGGACTGCAGACCATTGGAGTATGTTGAAAATTGTGCATGTCAAAATTATTTCGGTGATACTGTTATTAGTTGAATACAAACACGATTATTTAGCTGACTAGATTGATTGACATTGATTTCTTGTTTTACATTATTCAGATGTACCTGCCTAGTGGTTGGTACTGCTGTACAATGATATCCCCCACTAATCGTAAATACAGACTCTTTGTTCACGAAAGAAAAATCATTTCGGGGTATGTACATCCGGCATCAGCGCCTTGATGAGCATCACAGACATTTTAAGCGACAATAACGTCAACAGTACGTTTGAACTAGCACTAGACAGGCAACCAGTTATACAAACTTTTCATGGTTGCATATGCCTACACTTTTGTTTTTGGCTTCATCAGTTCAGAAATAATACAAACCTGAGTATTTAAATGTCCTCCTTTCGCAAACGACGATGTTTTTAGCACCGCAGACAAAAACCAATCGGAAAATGAAGAAGAAACCATTTTGGACGATTCTGACTTAATAAATATTTTCACGAACCGCTTTTACCAGTGACGCGGTGCCAGGAACGAGCAGATTATTTGTGTTGCACGTATTATAATGATAAAATGTTAGCTTACCGCAATTACCGTTGTTGTATTGCTGTTGCTGGGCGTGTGCGAAATGCGGGTTTTGCAGCAGTTGTTGTTGTAACGTGGCGTGGTTCATCAGTGGCAGCATCGTTGGCGGAGGAGGTTGTTGTTGTTGTGATTGGGACGTGTGGGCGCCCCCAGGGGACGGATAAGGGGGCGGAGGCGGCTGCTGCTGCTGCTGATGCCCCTGGGTGACTGGCGAGGGGGCGGTACCTGAGGAAGACAAGGCGGTGGCGACGCCCGGCAGATGCTGCTGGACGCCCAACGGAGGAAAGACGCAAACGCCAGTCGCACTGTTGTTGGGACCACTATTGGAGGGAAGGACAGATACAGCAGCTGCTACTGCATCGCCTGCAATCAGACATTACTATACGTAATTAACAACAAAATAGTGAACACGCATTTTTATAGGATGCATTATTTGTACCTATAATGCTTTAAAAAAAATCCATAGCAACCAGCACTTATAATGAACTTGCTTGTAATGGAAACCCGTATATAATGGACACAATTTAAGGTCCTATAAAGAATCACATGTAAGATCCTCGGATATTATAGACTCGCTTAAAATAGACCCTCGCTATTTTGGTAGGTCCCCGAAGCAGATATAGCTGATGCAATCGTTTACGGCTTCGCAGTTGCATTCGAACTTGACCACCAGTGTTATACTGTATTTATTAGAGTTATAAACGTGTCGAAAAGTGCGAAACGAGCATTCACTTTACACGAAAAGTTCACAATATAGTATGGCTATAAAAAATCCACCGTGTCAAAAAATATGGAAATTAGATTAAAAAAATTGGACCAAAAAATTCGTAAATTTTTGAATCAAGTATATGAAACCTAATAATAGCATTATTAAAGCATGTACCACTACAGACCATGACAGCGGCCCCAAAAATACAACAAAAAAAACGTGACCAACCATCGTAAAGTTCGCCAGACCTTGTTTACCATTTTGTTTTTTTTTTATTGCGTGAATCAACTATAGACCTAGCTGTGTCGGATTAAAAGAAATACACGTTGTGTCGCCAAAACTGTTGCGCTAATCATTTTTGTCTTTCATCCCGCGAGCTTTTTGTTTGCAGCTAAGAGAGAATGGAAAAAGCTGTAGCAGTTGCAGCAGCTGATCTGCGAGCTACCAACGCCGAGCTGTCGAGATTTCGGCGGAGGATTTATTTTCATATCAGGCATCGTTTCCTCTTCTAGCGTGTTGAAACTATCAGATAGTCATTTATCGCATAATATCATCTGTCAAGCGTTCCTGCAGCTTTTACAAACTAAGTATACGTGGACAGTCTCTATTTCTAGAATACTATCATAACATGGAATAACATTTTGAGAAGATTCTGTTTCTTTCATCGATCTTCAGAAATACTCGAATTTGTAAAACGTTCTAAGGTTGATTTTCTTAGTTACCTGAATGCACAATTTTGCCCTAATTGAACTGAACACACTAAGGAATGAATAAATTAATAATATGGTTTCAAGTTAAATATCCATCTTTTTTTATTTTTCGTGGAAATAAAAAATGTTCATTCGCTAAACGGAAAAAAACATTTCTGAAGCCGCTTTACAACATTATATCATTGTTTTCTTTCAATTATATCATCAATGGATAAAGTATAATATTGGTCGCAAATGGTATTCGTTTTCAATATGGAAACAGAGCATAAATAAAAAAGGTTATTGCAACTAGCGCCACCTACTGCTCCGTCGTTGTAGCTTATTGACATTGCGACGTAGAAACCGTAGCGCTGCTTCCGCGGCAACACGCAATTACGAAAATACATAATAGATGGCGCTGACTGTACAAGTTCTAAAAAAACTTCCTAACAGGTCCGTATGGTCAGTCGTCCCTACAATTATTGTAGGGCGCGTTTATGGCCTCCTTGATTGTCATACTCCTTTCTCTCGTTAAAAAATGTCTAGATTGCACCTGACCCGTGTTCTTTTTAAATTGTAGGAAATTTCAGGATAATAAAACATGATATAACTCAATAGCAAGCACAATTTGATGCAAAATAGATGTTTGTGACATAACCTCAAAATAGAGGGCTGACACGGAGAAGTAGAAAACTATGACAATCAAGGAAGCCATAAACGCGCCCTACAATTGACGATACGGGTCTAAATAAAATATTTTGATATTGACAGGTCATAGTTGGCTCTTACCTGGCTCGGATTTTGGAGGTGATAGGGGACTTTCTGGTAATAATATTCCTTTCAACACCAATTCATCTCTATTGGCTCGGACTGAAATTTTTCTTTCTAATGCTGTAAAAGAAAAACAGCGCCTAGTTAATAGATTGTAAAAAATATGATTTTTTTATGTCACGTTTTGAGAATTACAAAAGTGAAAATTTAAAAATATATTATTTATAATCAATGAATCATATATCTAGGAGCCCCTTCCAACTTCAGTTGGCCCAACTATTGAAATCTTAGTTTTTTTCTTATCAAATACAAATAAAAAGTAGCTATGTCAGAAGAACAGATATGAAGTATTTTTTTGTTTTTCGCCAGAAAAACAGTTCAATAAGGAAACCATAAGGCTGAGTATATCATAATCCAATATCCTGAGGCAGATATTTATTTCTTTATTGTAACTTCTCCAAAGTTATTCAGTAAATAACAAATCTATTAGAATAGATGATAAGAGTTACGATTAGCGCGTCGTGATGGCCAGAATTCAACATGAAAAATGAAAATACCGAAACATGTCACACGCGCTGATAATACCAAAAATTATTAATATAGCCTTATTTTCCTGTCGTAATGTTGTAAATTCGTTCATTCTAATTTAATGGACGTTGGACTGAGACATACTTAAGCCTATTAACTTTTGCAATCCATTTCAAAGTAAATTGACTATAACAGCACGTGTCTGCGCATTGATGCACCGTCAATTATTATGGAACGACATTTTCGCGTACCCAAATGAAAGTTGTATTTGACGATCGCTTTTAATGTTTTGAATATCATTCGGGAGGTGTTGGTTTTCCCGATAATCGTTTCCAGCGTGATGTAACGCGTCCTAGTCTCGTAGTGTGGAACGCGCGCAAAGGCTGTCAAGGTATGCGCCCCGCCACGCCGCCACCGACTGGCGGTGGTTGCGTTGGAAACCATCGCGCTCGATGGAGCATGCACACCAGAACAGAGAGATAGGCTTTAAGAGATCCGACCCCCTTTCCTCCTCTACTTTTTACTTCCCATGCCAAAGTTTGCGAGGAAGTATTACAATCGCGAGAAATTTCGAAGTTGAGATATGTTTTTTGGATGTTATTTATGACATTA